TGGGCTATATCTCATCTCATTGGGCTATATCGTGTTAATAGGCTTTATGTCATCTTATTGGGCTATATCATGTTACTGGGCTATATCATGTTATTGGGCTATATCGTGTTATTGGGCTATTCGCTATGCATTCTAGTAATAATGGTAGTAAACTGATGGTAAATGTATAATAATCCTTTGTTTATATAACAGGAATCGATAGCTTATTTCCCGCTGGTTGTTCTCATCAGTGGGGTTGCAGCAAGTCCTAGCGTAGGCCCTCTGAATAAACGATTTGGCAGCAAAGTAAGTAATCTAACTTGTAATTAACATTCAACACTGCTCTTCGCTAGCAGAAACTAATCTGGTATATTAAGTAGTAAAGGCTTCACAAGACGGCGAAAAAAACTTTTCTGCGCTCGCTGTCGTCCTTATGCATCTGGAGGTCATGATATCCAATTGTTTGCATTCCAATGAGCACGTTTAACTTCAAAGGACAAAGGTGCACGCATAAAAAAATAGTGATCTCACCTTGTGCGCACTTTTCTTATGCATGTAAAGAAGCTGTCACACGCAATGATTTCTGGTACGACTTGCAGTATAATTACTTTTTAAGCTCCTCGAAATATCATTGCATGTAAAAGTATCAATACGAATGTCAAACCTGTTTTTTATGGAATTCTACTCACAGATGGCGTTCATCGTGGGCTGTCTGCTGTCCTTAGCTGCAAGTATTTGGTTCTTTTTGCAGTCGATTGAAGGGAAAAATGCTGTTTACATGGCGGCCATACTTATTGGTTGTGGTGGTTCGATCATGCTTGCTACATCACTCTCTTTTATTGCTGAAGTAATTGGGCAAAATAAGGTATGAACTGTTGTCAGACAGACAGACAAATAGACAGACAGACAGACAGCAGTCAAATAGACAGACAGACAGACAGACAGATAGATTTAGAGATCAGTCAAAACTGGCAAAAGGCATACAGAAAAGCAAAATAAAAACTAACCATCAATAGAGCATGTGCATGTTACGTGTTTCGTCAATAAACGAAATATTACGAGCTACGGTTTCAGAAGCTAGAAGCTAGTTGCTAGTTGCGAGTTGGATATGCGAGTTGTTCGAAATCTAAAAAAAGCGAAGCGCGTTACTCATATCTAGAAAAATATATTCAAAGTTGAAGCGATCTGACTTACCTGGTAGCTTGCTCTGAAACTCGACGAACTGAATTTAAATTAGCGTCACTTACTTATATACTAATGCAACTTAATCCGAGGCAAGCTACTCGTGCGTGCGTGCAAAAAGGAATCTATGTCTGAATTCTATCATGCTTTTCGCGCATAACGAAACATTACGTTAACCACCATCTTGGTTGACGATAACAAAGCATCCCTCATTAGCCTCTCTTCAATCAACCAACAACATGGCGGCTGTTTCATTGTTATTTATCTCTAAAGGGATTTTTTAGTCACATTGTTGCACATAATGTATAAAAGAAAAGTAATATAATAATGTTTTTTTTCCATGAATGCACAGAGTTCTGGAGCATTCGTTTATGGAACCATTGGTTTTACAGACAAACTGTCCAGCGGTATTGTCATAGCAATCATTCAGGTTTTAAACCCGCGACCGAATGGAGACAGGTACGAAAAGCACAAGCATAATAATCAATTTTCGAGTTCCAAATTAATTAAGCGTTATAATTATACAGGAAGACAATGGAAAGCTATTTTCAATGTTACGACACCGGATCGGAACCGACAACTATTTTTTGAAATGGGTATATAAGAATACTTGACTTCACTATATTTATGATAACAGATTAACTCTTTTTTGTGTGTGTGTTGTGCACAGAAGTGACTGCCCACCTTGTGATCGTTTTGTTCGTCAAGTGCTAAGTTTCACCCCTGGATGTGCTGCTTTATTTGGTCTTCTTCTTGTAGTTTTTTTCTTCGAATCTATTTTTACTTGCAAGAGAAAAGGTTGGTATATACGCGTACACTCAATTTGGAAAGCAATTGTCGGGTTCGAAACCGGCGAAGAACAAAAAAGCTGAGTTTTGACACCAGCAAATATGTATGGTATTTTTCTTTTTAAAATATCGCATGCATAATAATGAAAAAAACATCAAGTCTATTGAAACCTTGCATCGAAAAAGAAACACATAAATAGTAAGTTTTTCTTATTTCATTTTGTAGTTTTGACTTCAGATACAGCGACTCAGACCGAAAAGATAACTATCGAAAGAGAGCGCGAACCTGGTCATGGAGTCATCCCACACGTGGTAATAAACCAAGAGAATGACTCCCCCATAAAAAAACCGGACAGTAGTAATCATAATCATGACCATGCAGTTGTTTACACAGCACGTGATGCCACGCCTACAAGTTTTGCTGTGAGTAAAGATCACGATGGACCTTCCAATGTGTTTCAAGCATCGGATCACGATTCGGTTTTGGATAATCATCTGTTCACAAAGAGGAACTTCTTATCGTCATCATGGTGTAACTTAGAGAGTCAGGCTGCTGTAAGGCTTGCGTCTTACGAAAAAACGTCTCCAAACTTAGCACGGAGATCATTTGCTGTTTGATTTAAGGGCAAAGTGAACTTACGCGGCTTTGAAGGTCTCGGTCCAACTTCGTGATGTTCGAAAATGATTAAAATATTGCTCTGTTGATTGTAATGCTCCTTCCCGAGCGAGTTGTTTTCTGGAGGTCAAGTGGCTGGTGTCTCAATAAAATCAAAGAACAATATGCGATTCAGTGCAACATAAATACATTAATAACTATATGGAACAATAACTTTACAAAACAATTATTGCTGTTAAATAGTTGCATAGTCGATCTCCTTCAGCAAGGATGTGATCTACAGTGGCGGCAGTCCAGTGTTCGAGCGAAAAATTCTGAGCGCATAACAATGCTGAAACAGGGACGGCGGAACCGGGGGGGCTTGGGAGACTTTAGCCCACCCACTTTTTGTGAAATTTTAATACATTTTCACTAAACTCAGCTCCCCCCCCCCCACCTTGCCATACAATGTCACTATGGAGTCCCTCCAATCAAAAAACTGCTCCGCCGTCCCTGTGAAAGACTCATAAACTATCATTAAATCTTTCGTGACCACTGTCACTAAATCTTTCGTGACCTTAATGAATGCTTCCAGCAATAAACATATTTGAATTAGACATTATTACAGTCGGAAAAATATATTTCACTTTGTTGATCTCGAAAATGTATACCAAACCACGACGTTTGCCAACGTTTTTCCAACGTTGTTTCGGACGTTATCGAAGCAACGCATAAATTCTGATGATGACCTCCACTGAACATATATACCGCACACTCCGAAAATCATCGGGACGGACGCAAAATCGAGCAAATCTTTTAAGAGTAGAGAACTGAACGGAGATAAATAAAGGCAATGGAAAAAATGAAGCTTTATGAGACGACAGTGAGAGAGAGACAGGAAGTGTGGAGTGTGGAAGTGTCCATCTAGTTTCCCCCCATAAAGATTATAATTTTGCTATAGTATATATAATATACTGATTAGAATTAAAGGGCAGAGAATAAACCTTTGTTTCAGTCTGTTTCATTTTCTAAAATAAGGTTTTTATTTGTTTTAAAATACTGTTGGCATTTGGCTAATTTACTTTTTTTTATTTGTTTGATTTTCTTTGTTTTTTGCTTTTTTTTAGTTGTTTTATATAATAGAATTTGCTAAATTGTAATACAATATACATCTTGTTGACCTCCCAGTTTCAAGGGCATGACCTAGCTATAATGTCTCATCAGTCATCGGAAAGTGAGGGGGTTTCCGGTGCTTGACTACTTATGTTATCTAAAACACCAAAAAGAAATGAAAAGTCAGTATAGGTGACCTGAATCCCTTAGAAGTAGGAAGAAAGAAAAAAGGGAAGAAAGAAAGAAAGAAAGAAAGAAAGAAAGAAAGAAAGAAAGAAA